AGTCATTCGGTGAGGAGCACAAGATTCATTGTATGTATTTAAATTATTTGAAAATATACTTTAGAAATATTTCACAATGTTGATGCTCCTTATCCTCCATTTGATAAGAGTCCCTTTGCAAAAAACCTTTGTGGTGTCCAGTGCAGTAGCACAGACTTCAAAGCCATGTCTGCTCAAAGCAGGAGGCTGAACTTCCTGAGTTCTCCAGACTTCTCCTTCAACATAAATTATCCTATGATCTCACATACACAAAACTAGAGAGGAGGAATAAAAAATAAAATGAAATGCCTAAGATTTTCTTCGGGAGCTTTTTTTTTTTTTGAGGACATTAGTGGGGGTCTTGGAGTTTTTAATACATTTTTGGAAAGACATTTTTTCATTTGTAACCTAGCTAGAGTTGTTTTTCTTATCAACAGCCCCAGTCTTCCAGAAGAGGGAGTTTGATCCTTTGCTACAGTAATCTAAGAACGAGCAACTGCAGGTTCCAGATATGACACTTGCAGGTTTCTCTTTGATGAGATTCAAAGAGAAACGTGTGCCATGTTGTCACAGGTTAAAGTGCTCTAAGACCACAGGCTATAGCTCACTCAGTAGGAAGAAGACTTTTGACATTTGAAAAAGCCAGTTTAACAAAGTTCAAACATAACAACATGGAAACCAAGAGAAAAAAAAATCAAAGTTGAAGTGAAGCATTTTAACAAAGCACAAAAAATTGACACATTTTGCTGTAAGTTTTGTCTGGAAGCTGAAAATTCTTGAAATCCTCAGAGCAGGGATGCCAAACAAACCCGCTTTCTGGTGGCTGGTTCACACAGATTGTGAGTGAAGTATGATCAGGTTACTGAAGAAATTATGTGATGGGGCTGACTGCAACAGCAGGAGCATGGTCTGGTAATCTATAAGCTTTCCAGCCCACTTTCATTCTTCTAGGAAATAATGCATTAATTCTGCAGAAGGATTGGATAACATCCCCAATATTTGATAGGGGATCCCTCTTTACTCAAGCTTCTGAGTCGAATGGGACAAATGGGAATGTTAATATGATGAAGAAAAAAATAATACTGAACACTGTAAAACTGAAACAGTTTTACATAGAAACAGTTTACATAGAAAAGTGTTTTCAATGCTAAGAACAAAATACTTGTAGGTAAAAAGGAACAATTTGGTAAAATGAGGTTAGGTGATAAACTCATTTTCAATGTCTCATTCCCCACTTTGGACTATGCCTACAGAACAGTCAAAGCTCTAAAGGTTTTACTTTGCCTCAGTAAAAAAGCAGATTAAAAGAAATATCTGCGGCCTACATACAAATTACCTTTCAGGAGTCATTGGGCTACACAGGTCTGCTCCAGAACACAATAAAGCATAATACAGGAGAACATTTCTACAATTTATGTCATAAATAAGTTCCCAACCCTACAGATACACATAGGACTACAGAAAAATTTCTTGTGCATTAAGTTACATTAAGGTTGTACTTAAAATGCTGAAAATAGAAGTGTTCTACCATTGCTGTTAGCTGTATTTACAGAGGATGTAGCCCAGACAAAGTAAGCTGAAGTAATATTCTAAATATAGTTTCCTTTCAGCATGTGACTACTGTTTCTGTTCTTTTTATCCCATTATTATTCCCTCCATATAATGGAGAAGATGACTGAGACAGAGTTCAGGGACTTCTCCTGCACACTGTTAGCATGGCTGACAGATTTTCTCCTCTTGACAGAGCCTGTGAGCCTGGGTGGCTTTGCCATGCAGTCTTTTGCCCTATTGCTGACGTTATTATTTTGTTAGGTTCCCACATGTCTGAGGCTCCCATGTTTTAGGCAAGTTTCTCTCATATTCCAAGATTACCAAACTTCTCAAGCTACTTGTGTTTGGATTGTTTTGGATTCTTTTTCAACAACTTTCTCTTACAGCCAGAAAACCTTGCCAAGAGTAGAGATATTAAGGGAAGTGGAAGCTGTTACACCTGTGATGCATAAAGGTCCAGTCACAGAGCCTCTGCCTGGAGTGTTTTGACATTGGTACCTGTGTGTGTTTTAATTTTTTTTCCTTAGGACTTTATTCCTATCTTTGAGCTGAAGGAAGGTAGCAGGTGGCAGATCTGACTGCAAGAAACCATGGATGCCAATTCAGGAACTTTGAAACACCATCTAGTAGTTTCAAGAAGTGTTTCCTGAAAACAGAATCATCTTAAATACCTTCATCAGTTACTTGAATTAAACTACATGGATGTGATCTAGGCATGCATTAATCCATATTAAGCAATACATAATTTGTATTAATATCTGTGATGCAAAGCCGAGACCTGCCTAGCATACATCTAGAATGAAGTAAGAAGCTGGTGTTAAAAGTATTGCAGGGCCATAACACACTATTTTCCAATATGAAAATAACATGCAGATAATAGCTACACTGAACAAGCTTGGTTTGTTTTAGCAGGCTATTTAAAAAACAACAACCAAAAAAAAAAAAATCAAGATGCTTTGGCCCATGTACATAAGTAACAACTTTATAACAAAATTGTTGCTATTTATCAAGTGACTGGCACAGATTCACTTCCCAGGCATGACAAGGGTATATTCTGAAAATACAACCTGTGGTATCACAGGCAAGGTAAGACAAAAACATTGCTTCAGTACTTCATGCATGCAAACTTCAAATAAGCTAAATGCTAGCAGATGTGTCATCAACAGCACATTCACACCAGAACACCCTAAGCAATCCCATGAAACTCAAATGTGCTGGACTTGTTCACAAAGCTTGACTGACACCAGCCAGTGCTGGCTCCATGCAGCCCAGACAAAAGAGTCCTCATCGCATTTTCCAGATTTCAGAAATTTAGTGTTGCATTTAGAAAATGGCTTCTTCCTGAAGCCACCTCCAAATTCACCCTTCAGCCATTCTCTTTCTAATCCAAACACATTCAACCACAAACCTAAGTTTTGGCACTGCAAACCCAGAGCCTTTGAAGATGATAATACTGTGCTTGACTACTGTGTCAAATACTTTTTACACTCCTCAGGTTATGCAAATAACAAACACTTCTGCTACTGAGTGCTACTTATCAGCATGATATAACTTTTTTTTCCTCTCACCAGAAGGAAGATAACTGATTTAACTCCTGAACAAAATGTTGTTACTGTCCAGCTGCAGCAGAAAGTTCAATTATCTTCCTTCCAGGCTTGACATCCTTAGAACAAGTGCATGTGCACACACACACACTGAGGTATATCACATTATGCCAGCACACAGAAATGGACCTGAACTGGTCCTGTCTTTTCCTCTTTTGAAAACAGACAAGGCTCAAATACAAGATAAATTTCAAAACTGACTAGAAACATACCTAACTCATGTTAACCTTCTTCATCCATACTAAAAGAGAGGCTCCTTCTGGGCCACAGGTGTGCCCAGTGGACCCATGACAATGTCAAGCCAAAGCCCCTCCTCTGTACATACTCTAAATAATACAATTTGGAAAGAAAATCTCAACAAAATAAAAACAAAAAAGTAGTTTTTGTTTTCAGAAGGTATAAAAAGGCTGTTTCAGCAGCACTTAGCCTCACTATCATGTGGCTGAAAAATGCTCTGGAAACAATCCAGCCAGAACCCAACTTGAGTATGCATCTCCTAAAAAAGAGAAGCAAGTCTGTGCAACCAACATGAAGAAAGAAAAAAATACTGTCTGCACTAGATAAAGACCATGGGGATTTTGGTCTTGTTAGATGCAGCCCAATCTGGGAGCCTTTTTGGGGCTTTGTGTTGGATCTGCATGGATTTAACCTCCACTCTTGAGAGAGTAAAGCCAGAGTCCCCTGTGAAAACCAGGTCAGACAGGTACCACCCTGTGCTGCTGTTCATCAGCTGTCCCTTCCCAGATTCACAGGATACAAACTACCTTTTTCTTTGACATATACACAGCTTCTGTACTGACACATGCACATACAACTTGGCTGAGGTACAATCTGCCTATTCACTACAAGCTCTGCACTTCACCATTAAAGGTCAAGCTAAGGAGAAAATAAACCAAACACAAAGCAAACCGAAATGGAAGCTACACAACACAGAGAACTACAAAGCAACAGGTGCCTTTGGAAACAGGTTTTTACATGGAAAAACAGAAGAAAATAAAATGAAAAGCACAAAGACTAGAAAAACAAGCATTGCTCTTCAAAAAAAAACCAAACCAAAAAAACCAAAACCAAAACAACTAAAATCTAATCTTAAAGAGTACCCAAAACCAGAAGACTTAATATGCTACAGTTTCCAGGTATATGAACAAAACCAAGAGATTGGATATGACCCTTTGTTGTACGTCACTTCATTTAAAAATGTAAGATAAACATAATTAAATGGATTGATCTTCCAAAAATTCATCTGGGATAATATTTTTGGCATAGTTTTTTTAGTCAAGAGAATTTAGAAAGAGAAACAGTGGAGTAAGAGAAGATATATGCAGATGTTATTCTGACATGTAGAAAGTTACTTTGTCTCCACAGTACTATCTGAAAGTACATCTTTATTATTTATTATTTATGCAAATAGACAGGAAATGACTTGTCAAAGTGAAAAATAATTAACTTCCATGTAAACTGATATAATCTATATTCAAGGAGATTATAATCTCTTCAGTGCCACACAATGTGCATTTATTTCCTTTAGAAGGAACCACTTTGCACTCTATACCAGGTTTCCTTTTGGATTATGTAATTTTATTTGTTGTTGACTCAAAAGTAGAGAAACACAAATGTTTTGGCTCTAAGCAGGGACAGTATTATTCCAAAGCACAAGGAACCACGTGCCCTGCTGGAGCAGCACATTTCACAGGAACAGAGACTGGAGGACGTGGTTTTACCCTACCAGCAAGAGCATCCCTGTTTGTGACACACATCTGCAGTGGCCCCCAGCAGGGACTGTCTGACTACAGGCAAAGGGTCATCTCACATGGCAAGAGCAGCCTCCAGCATGGATTGGAAATAGAAGAAAAACATTTGACGTACTTGGATCTGACAAGATTGAGTCGGTTTTCGGCAAAAATTGGTCACAGCGGACTCCTTGGTAGCCCTCTTTGCACCTGAGGAAAAGGGGATAAATGACAAACATACGCATGCGGCAGTGAAAGGTTAATCTCAAGGCACCAAACCAACCCTGCCAACACCGCAGCTCCACAATATGCAAGTTATTTGCACTCCAGTGGGAGCATGGTTATTACTGGAACACAATGGAAGCAGGTAAAATAATGTGTATTTCAAAAAAATTTCCCCTCAAACCTTTCGATTATTTTAGAAACTATGAAAACAAACATTGTTCTAGCATAACCATTCTTTTAAATATCAACTCAGTGAAACAACCAAAGAAAAAAATCTGCATAAAGTATGCATATCTGCAAGTAAAATAAACTCTTCAGGTAACATAGCACTTTATAAAGCTTCCATGCTGCACAAACCATGAGACAGACAACTTATGCTCTGGCTGTCTGAAAAAGCAGGGAACAGTTAGATAGCCATTAATTTTAATACCAGTTTATACTGTGCTTAGATAGACATCATCAGGCATTGTTTGCAAGCAGGAAGTTTAAGATGCCTGTGAGATTAGATTTTAAAGCACATAAACCAGAATACCCTCCTGCCTCAACAAACAAGAACTGGCTTTGACTGAGATTGTAATACTATTATTTATCTTGAAGCCTTACTTTGAAGAAATTCCATTTGCTGCTTTTGAACTGTTCTCAGAAGTCTCATTTCAACTAAGTGTATCAGAATCAGATCTTTAATTATTTATTCGTCAAGCAGTTTTTCAGAGGAAAGTGATGGACACTTTAATTATAAATGATAGCACCAGGGATTCCTTATCTCCCAAAGCTCTTGCACATCACATAAGCAATATGCTCAAATCAGCATCACCACCTTTCATTAGGGTTGACAACTGCAGCTTGAATGATGGGATAATGTCAGGAGAAGAAGTTATCTGTTCCTTCACAATGTTTGTACTCAGGCCTCCTCTAAATGTTGCCTTTTAATACGCTTTTGGTTTTATAAATTAATGGTTCAATGAGAAGTGCATCTCACCAGCATTGACTCAGGGATTAGGAAGAACATTTGTGAGAAAATATGTAAAATATGTTCCCCTCAGACCCAAAGATGTAGTAAAAATCTGCAGTAAGAAAAAAGATTCAAACCCCCATACATATAATATTTCAAAACCTCCCTTTTGGCCTTTCTCCCTGATGGATATGAGGTACTGCTTTGAGATCACCTTATCTATAAAATAACTGACTTGAAAAAACTGTTCAGGTTTTGTTTCATTCAGATCCCATGTCAGCAGCCATAAGCTATTGGTCAAGGAAAAAATGCTCAATTAATTATAACTGTCCACTTGTCAGAAAAAAGTGAAGTCCACATGTACTCAGGTACTGACCCATGCATCTTCTGCCTCTGATTATGAAACATCAGAAGCCGCCTCACATCAAAAAGAAACCCTTCTGCACAGTCTTGAGAGGAGCTGGCAGACCCCACACCAAAGCTTAAGTACAACCTGCACTGGTGGGGATTCTTGCTTTCTTTGAGCATTTTCTATTCACTTTTTGACACACATTTGCATCTGCCCTGGTTATAAATCCCATATTACAGACTTAAGACCCTCTAACCTAAAGTGTTGGTAATAAAGGCATGTGAGGAGAGTCACAGTGTGGTATTTCCTGAATAGCTGTGCCCAGAGCTCATCAGTGCACGTGGACATTTTCACTTACCTCTACCTCTGACAAACACACCACAAGGGGAACGTGTTTCTTTCAAAATTTAGTGCAGAGGTGGATGATACTCCAAAGGACAATCTTTTAATGCAACACCATAACCTCACACTCAGATAATACCTATCATGGTGAGACTGCACCTTGAATCCTGTGTCCAGTTCTCTGTCCCTCAATACAAGAGGGACATTCAGGTGCTGGAGTGAGTCCAGACAAGGGTAATGGAGCTGGTCAAGGGAGTGGAGCACAAAGGAGACTGCTGTGGGAACTGGGCAGGTTTAGCCAGAGAAAAGGAGGCTCAGGAGGGACCTTATGCTCTTCTACAGGTCCCTGAAAAGAGGGTGCAGTGAGGTGGGGGTTGGTCTCTTCTCCCAGGTAAGAAGTGACAGGATCAGAGGCAATAACCTCAAACTGCACCAGGGAAGGGTTAGATTGGGCATTAGGAAAAAATCCTTTACTGAAACTGTGGTCAGGCATTGGAACAGGCTGCCATAGGAAGTGGTGGGGTCAGCATCCCTGGAGGTACTTAAAGCTGTGTAGATGTGGTGCTGAGGTTTAGACATGGGTTAATGGTTGATCTTACAGATCCTAAAGGGCTTTTTCAGCCTCAATTATTCTACAACTTGATGGCCAGACATAGCTTGGTTTTTTAAACTGCATTAAGTTTTTCAGCAAAGATAAAAATTAAGTCTTCAGCTTCCCTTAACAAATCCTTTTTTCAATATCTGAAAGCAAATATTTGAAATAATTGCTCTGCCATTATGACACCCCAGTTCAAACATGTGCATGTAAAGTCCTTAAGCCTTGCAGAATATACATTTCACAGTTATAATGCTACAGTATGATAAAAGTTGATCATGTTTTGGCATCCCATAATCTTAGCAAAAGCATCTACCATGTGTCCTAAATAGGCAGATGTGATATGCACGCATGCTGCTCATTGGTATCACACCTCTAGGTAAGAAAGCACAACAACCCACTGCAGAAAACCCTATGAAAGCAGCACTGTGGTGACACATACACAAGTTCAGCAAAGTCCAAATGAGGTCACTCAATATTGCCATATGCAGTGTGAATGATCAAATACATATTTATGGATGCAATAAAAAAGCCATGAGTTACCAGAGAAACCTTGAGAAATGCTTAGGTGCAGCTCATGGTTTCAGAAATGATCACTCAATTCTGAGACAAACTAATGTTTATTAGAGACACCATTAAAAAAAAAAAGAAAAAAATAGAAAATAAAAATAACATGGATAAGATATTGCCTGTAGCAAAGCAAAAGATCTGATGTGAATGTGGGAGCCTTGCAACAAAGGCTGGAGAGGACAGGCTAAGATCCATTCCAGCACCAGGAACAGCTCCAAGCATGGCGCTGCATCAGCAGGCCTGGGCTTAAGTGCACACCACGCAAAGGGGTCTAAAAGTGGGGTTAATTGCAGCCTCTTTGCAAAGTAAATAGGGAAAAAAAGCAAAGTAAATAGGGAAAAAAAGGAATTCTCCTTTTGCATTCAGATTTTCACCCAAATGAGTGTGTCTGTCTAGGCTCTAGACCAAAAATATGAACAGGATTGTGCTGTATGAATGGAATTAGCTAAATCCTGCTGATTACACGGTATGAAAAGACAAGCACAGGTAAAGCCACTCTGCACCGCTGAAATGCTTGCAAACAGCATATCCCTAAGGGATAAGTGCTAAATTCAGCTAGGATTATTTCATCGTGTCTTCTTGACATCTTTTTTTGGCAATGTACTTTCCCAGATGATTTTTTTGAGGTCACCAGTAACAAACTGCATTGTGCATTGCACTTTGTGAAGTCAGCCACAATGACCTCTGTGTGAAAACATACAGGCACAAACACATCTCTCATTCCTCGTGAGAAGGCTTTTTCCTTTTTACTTAAGCACATTTGCACCTAAAAAGTAAGTACAGTATGAGAGACTTTATTCATTCTTTCGTTGTTTTTGCTAATGTTAAACAGTACTAATACCTGTTTGTTCTAGTCAAAGTGATCACAGACACTTTCTGTGGAAATTTTCCAGAACTGTTTCTTGTACAACCTTATGGAGCCAAGGGACATTTCAAATATATGACTGTCACTCATAAGACTAACACAGCACTCTAATTTTTAATGTTGGATACGTTTGAAAAAATAAAGTGAATGTGGGTGAGGGTGGAGCAAATTGCACAATAAACAAAGATTAAGACTAAAATAGATTTAAGACAGCAGAAAGGGAAGAAAGAGAACCTACACAGAAGTCTTAGGGTAGGACATAAAACTTCAGGCCAAGAAGCCAATAATATCAGGATTTAGATTTTCCTCAAACACTTCCATATAGAGCTCCACATCCCTATTAAGCCTAAATATTTACTTGTCAAGGGACAGGAAGGTGGAGAATGCAGAAGAGAGAGAGTGGCAGCAGCAAACTGCAGAGGCTACAAAAGAAGGCAATACTAAATCCCCATCCCCTTCCTCCTTCTCTGTGATATCCATCCATCTGAAATGGAAACAATTCTCCCTCTTCCCCAAGTGTGGTGATCACATTGCCTCTGACCGTGTGAAGAAATATGCAGAAAATAGTTTTTCTGCACAAAGAATTTGGCAAAAATATAATATGCGAGTTTATTTCAAATGAAAACGTTGAAAATGATATGTGGCATCTCAGGGACAGACTACACCAGAAGAGAAAGATGTAGGACTACACACCAGGAAAAACAAGCATGTCCTAGGCCAAAGGTGATTTGTAATATTAAAAAAAAAGTCATAATAGCACAGTGCCCAAAAGATTAACTTATATGAACCTATAATCTGATTCTAGTCTCATAAACAGAAGTAATCCAATTTCAAAGATGGAATTAATAGTACCTCTGAAAAATGAAATTTAATTTTTGCAGTGAATCCAAATCAACATACATTTCCATCCCCTTGTAAAACTGCAAATTGGCAGTCTCAAAGATGATATTAATTAGAATAATCCATCTCAGTGGATCAGTTGCAAATTATTTTCTCCTGTCACCATTATATCCCCTGCACTAAGATTCAGATGCCAATAAGAGAACATACTGCAGCTCTTATTTATCCTCTAAGAGAGAAGGACTGCTATGCTCTCTCAGTAGATGGCATAAAGAGTAGAGGTCACAGCTACAAAGCCCTGAGACATTGCCCAGATTTAGATAATAAAACTTCCAGCTAATTTGTTGACTCCAGTGTTTCAGGATCCTTTAGCCTTGGAGAAACTAAATGGGGACACTTTAGTAAATCCTCTGTAGGAACCACTGAACTAAATGAGGCTTTTAACATTTGAAAAGGAGTTATGTGGATTTGA